CCACGTCGGTCACTCGTTCATGGCCGTGTCCCTCCTCAGCCTGTCCCTGACCACGGCGTCCAGCACGGCGTGCAGCCCCTGGCAGGCGCGCTGGGCCATGTCCAGCACGGGCTGGAGCCTCTCCTGGTGCAGGCGGGCGCTGAGCTGGCACAGGGACAGGTGGCCCGAGGCCGGCAGCGTGGCCACCACCAGCCGGGGACCCCCGGCCGCCTCCTCGGCCGCGCTCAGGTCGGCCAGGGCCAGGGGGGGCCCCGCGGGGGGCTCGGCCAGCCCGGCCGAACCGGCCACCACCGCCCCCCGCATGGGCACCCCCGCGTCCAGCAGCGCCAGCCCCGCCGCGCTCACGCTGGCACCCAGCTCGCCCCCGTCCGCCTGCAGCACCTGGGGAGGGGGAAACGGGGTCAGGGCACCCCAAAAATACACCCAGATAAACCCCCAGCTTGCCCCTGTTCGCCTGCAGCACCTGGGGAGGGGGAAACGGGGTCAGGGGGGACAGGGCACCCCAAAACCACAGCCAGAGCCTGAGGGACCATTGGGATCTAACAGGACCAACACAGACCCTGAGGGACCCCCAGGATCTACTGAAACCCCCCCCAGAGCCTGAGAGACCCCAAGGATCTCCTGAGGTTCCCCTTAGGACACCCCTGGGACCACCCCAGGGTCTCTTGGGATCCCCCCAAGCTCATCCTGGAACCACCCCAGGGTCTGCTCCTGGCACCTGAAGCCCCCCACTCTCCCCACTGGGACCCTCCCCCAGACCCTTCTGCCCCCAGATTCTCCTCCTGGGACCCCCACCCCCCATATGTTCCCCATTGGGACCCCTCCCCCAAGACATCCCGGGACCCTCCGGGACGTCCCTGAACCGTCCCCAGACCCCCTCCCCCGGACTCACCTGGACGTGCACGTCGATCTGGGAGCGGGGGTACAGGTGGGTGAGCACGGCCCCCTCCAGGACCCCCCTGAGCAGCAGCGCCCGCTCCCCCGACCTCCGGTCCCCCTGGGGGGGTCTCCGGCGCCGCTCCCCGCCCCCCGCGAACGGGGCCGAGCTGCAGCGGCAGCTCAGCAGAGCCCGGTCAGGGGGGGCCTTGGCCCGGGACCCTCGGACCTGGGGAGGGGACAGAAACGGGGGGGGGGGCAGAGGGGGGGGGGGGGGGGAAACTGGGGCCCCCCGAAAGCCGGGAAGCCCCGGAGGGGGTGAGGAGGGAACCCGGGGCGGAGGGGTCACAACTCCCGGGGAAAGGGGGGGTCAGAGAGGATGCGTGGACATCGGGAAGGCCCCGGGGGGGGGCTCTCAGTGCCCGGGGAGGGGGGTCGGAGAGACCCCGCGGGGAGTGTCCCAGCCCCGGAGAGGGTTCGGAGGGAACCCGGGGCGGAGGGGTCACAATTCCCGGGGAAGGGGGGGGTCAGGGAGGATGCGGGGGCATCGGGAAGGCCTCGGGGGGGGCTCTCAGTGCCCGGGGAGGGGGGTCGGAGAGACCCCGCGGGGAGTGTCCCAGCCCCGGAGAGGGTTCGGAGGGAACCCGGGGCGGAGGGGTCACAATTCCCGGGGAAGGGGGGGGTCAGGGAGGATGCGGGGGCATCGGGAAGGCCCCGGGGGGGGGCTCTCAGTGCCCGGGGAGACCCCAGCCCGGGGGGGGGGTTCCCGCTCACCTCGTGCGGGCCGTACACGGCCGCCAGGACCTTGGTGTTGCCCTGCTCCAGGTAGGCCGAGCCGTCGGCCCTCGCCAGCACCCCCAGCCGGGCCCGCACCTTGCGCAGCTCGTCCGGGCGGCGCCCGTCGGCCCGAAACCCCGCGTCCGACACCAGCTCCAGCCCCGCCATCCCGGGGGGACCGATGCCGCTGCCGGTGCCGCTCCGGCTCCCACGTGGGCCCGGACTACAACTCCCGGCGTGCCCCGCGCGCGGCCGTTGACGCCGACGGTCGTGGCGAGTGAGGGGGGAGCGGACTACAACTCCCGGCGTGCACCGCGCGCGCCGCCCGCCAATGGGCGGCCACGTTTCCCCTCCCCGGCCGAGGCCACGCCCCCAATGGCGCAATCCACGTAAAGGCCGCGCCCCCGCCGTGAGCTCTCGCAGAGACCACGCCCCTCCGGCGGAGACCACGCCTCCCTCAGCGGTCACGCCCCCTCCTGACACGCCCCTTTAAAAGTCCCGCCCATCTCCCAAGCCCCGCCCCCCTCTGCCGGTGGCGGCGGCGGCACCGGACGGGACCGGAGCGACCGCAGCGCCCCCTGGCGGCCGGGACGGCACCGACCGGCCCGGCCCCGGCACCGACCGGGCACCGCCGCCCCTCCGCCGCGCGGGACCGGCACCGCACCGGCACCCACCGCGCCCTTCCGACCCTCTGCCGGTTCCCCCGGTCGGGCCATGGCGGCCCCGGCCACCGGCGGGTTCCAGTTCGCCATCGACCGCGGCGGGACCTTCACGGACGTGTTCGCCCGCTGCCCCGGCGGCCGCGTCCGCGTCCTCAAGCTGCTCTCCGAGGACCCCGCGTACCGGGACGCGCCCACCGAGGGCATCCGCCGCGTCCTGCAGGAGGTGCGACCCCCCGGGCACCGCGCGGGAACTCACCGGGAAACCCTCGGGACGCCCCGCGGGAACCCAACGGGAACCCTCTGGGAACTCACCGGGCACCCCGGGACCCCCCACGGGAGCCCTCTGGGAACTCACCGGGACCCGCGGGAACCCGCCGGGAACCCTCGGGACATCCCACGGCAACCCCGGGACCCCCTACGGGAACCCTCTGGGAACTCACCGGGACCCCGGGACCCCCAACGGGAACCCTCCGGGAACTCACCGGGACCCCCGGACACCCCACGGGA